CATTTTCAGTTCCTTCTTGGCGCCCCTGCGGCCACAAACCTAGTCTCGCAGCCCCCTGGCCTTCCCGTCTTTGTCCCAAAGTCACTGGCGGCCGCTGCGCCTCATCGGGGTGGTGGTGACAAGGAGGCCAGCACGGACAGGAGGTACTGGTTTAAGCTCAAAGGTGACCCGGCCTGGAGTTAGTTTGCATTCCAAGCTTGGAGTGTGTCCTCCTGACTCAGGCAGCCCTGGTAGGTTTGGGCTTTTTGCTTTGTTTTTAAGGAAGCTGAGGTTCGGGTTCCACATCCCCCACCCCACTCTCTCGGAATGCTTGCACTGCAGCACTGAGTAGAAAGTCAGGAGTGGTGGTGGCCAGGCACCGACTAGGTCTTCTGATCTCAGGGGACATGAGGCCATGGTTTGCATGGACACCTTTTGGAAATGTGCTTTGCATGGCCTTAGAAAGGGATCCTTTTCTAAATGCGGACAAGGACAGGGCGTGCACTGCCCCAGCTCAGGCAGCCCTGCCCCTCCATGCCAACACCACCAATTCCACGCACCCCCTTCCCTGCCCCCCTTTACTGAAAGTCACATGTTGGGGCGTTCTTGCCCTGCCCAGGGCAACTCACGTGTTATGTGACGAGGAGATCCAGTAGTGAGACAAGGGGTTGTTCATGTCCTGCATGTTGACCACATCATACTTCTCGTCCCAGATGCTGTTTTCTCGCGAGAACAGGTACGTGAGGAACTGAGAGGGGCACAAAGACAAAGAGGCCCGCTCATCGAGTGGACGAGAAGGAACAACTTCTGCTCGGGCCAGCAGGGGGCAGGGTGCCGGCAGCTCTGACCATGACACTGGCCGGCCAGCTCCTAGACCCAGTTCCTGAGGGTTTCCGTGCAGACAGGCCTTGGGTCTCCCTGTCCCAGGGGGTATGTCAATCGCCTGTCCTACAATATCCACACCCCTCCCATTGTGAGGAGGGGGCAGCCCGAGCAGTGTTTTGTTCTGTTGTGCATAAGGTTTGGAGCCCACCCGATGTCACCTAACAACATCCGACCATATCTGATCATGCAAGAGCACACATGATGCATGTCCTCTGTGTGACTTTTAAGGATTCCCAGAGGGTGCATATGGTCACCCATCTCCACTGCTGCCTGCAAGGCTGGAGGCTCAGGCCACCCCAAGGTGCCTCACAAGAAAAACCTGGTGACCACTACTGAAACACCAGCCATGGAAAAACCCCGGGGTGCAGTTCTGCTCCAGCCCACATGGGGCACCATCTATTGGGATTAATTAACCCCATGGTAAACCCAAACTCAACTGCCATCAAATTAATTCAGATTTATAGCGACCCTGTAAGGACAGGGAAACCCCTGCGGGTTTCCAAGACGAACTCTTTACAGGAGGAGAAAGCCTCATCTCTCTCCCAATGAGACGCTGGTGGTCTTGAACTGCAGACCTTGTGGTCCCACAGCTCATAGCAACTAGTTCTGTGGAAAGGTTAAGGCAGAATAACCGAATGAACATCTATGAACCCACAGCCCAAGTTCAGAAGCAGAACATTATCAGCAACCTAACATCTAAAGGGTGACCACTACTGAAACACCAGCCATGGAAAAACCCCGGGGTGCAACCCAATTTCTAGCCCCTGAAACAACAACAAAAACCCACA